ATTATAAATAATTTTTTTTTTGGTTTGCAAACCAACCAAACTGAAACGCATGTACTAATGTTAATTGACTATCTACCCACTTATCCAGTAATTCTATCCTTACAAGAAACACATAAAATAGATTTAATTAATAAAGGTATGTATATAAGACTAATCCATGACAGCAAAAGTGCTTTTTAACTTAAATTAATTCTAAATGTTCATTTGCACATTTGGTCAATAATCTGTGCACTTCTGATTTCAGTTTACTACAAATAAAAACCTATAATAGATTAATATAATTGGCTATGTTGCTGTCTGTTGTGCAAAAGGTATCTTTGCAAAGTTTGCAAATTACAGTAGATTGGTGCATGCCAGATTTCACAAATCCAAATCATTTCCACACAATCGAACTAACCCTTTTCTGGAACCAATTTTTCCTCAAATCATTTCACTCTGCTTATTCAACAGCGCAGCCGACCAGCTTTTGGGCCATGTGTTTGTGGCGTGACATGAGTGCAGGGATTTTAGCAGTCTGTTGGCATACACAGCTTTTTTTTCCCTTTTAAATCTGAACTGATTAAAAATAAGTCCAAGTTCAAGATCCAGTCATTAAGTTGAGATCCACTAGGACAAAAAATTTACAAAGTGAGATGTACAGACAGCGCTGTTATGCAGGCTAAAATTGCTGTTTCACATCGGTCTGTTTTTCTTGTAGTGCTGCTGCAGCCTCTGAGCATGCAGACATCACGTGACGGGAATAGTGCGTCACTTGGCAAAGCAGCTCCTAAATAAGAGTAAATGTAATTGTATTGCTGTATCACAATTCTTGCAATAGCTCTGAAATGCTTATTGTGGATACAACTGCATAGTCACGATAAAATCATCATATTGCCCACAGTTACTTTCAGCCATGTAAAAACTCCAGCTGCAGTGCTCTTGACAAACTGCACGTGCACATCTGTCACTGACAAGCAGCATTACACAGAAGCTGACACAGTGAAATGCATTTTCATGAATTACCAAACTTATAAACTTGTTAGAAATAAGCAGCAAAAATATATAAACAGAGCGAGCTGCCTAGGATTTTGAAGCCCAGCACATCACCTGGTAACCAGAATATTTTTATCTCATCAGGCACTGGGATTAGTCAGCCCGAGTGGTGATGTAATCAACTGTACTGTGGCCAGAATTTGGGAAGGGGGGCGGTTTGTCTACTTGGGAATCTCTGCCTTAACACTTAATAAAAAACACCCCGCACACAAAGACTGTGAAAGCCATTCAGCAATGTAAGATGCACATGCAGGCTCCTGGCCAGGGCCCCGCAATGCCCCCCTTACCTTCGCCATTGGGGATGCCGTCCTGGCGGGGGGCTTTCCCACAGGGGCGGCCATCGCTGCCGGGGGCTTTGGTGATGCCGCTGCCAGCACTGCGCGGCACGCTGGGGGGTGTGGACCGGAGTGGAGGGCGCCCTCGCTTGGCCCCCGGTTTGGGTAGCCTCTCCTCCTCCCCCTTTTCTGCGTCCTCCTTGCTCTGCAGGGAGCAGTGGTCAGCTGTAGAGCCTTGCCACCCGCCCCACCCCGCCATAGCACGGCGGACGCTTACCTTCACCTTCCTCTTCTGCCTCCTTTTGTTCCCTGCTTTGTCCACAGGCCAGATTATGCGGTCAGCTTTGACCCACTCATCATACCTGCAGGAGCAAACGGGTTTTACCACTCAAAGGACATCCAGTCTCATTCAGTTTCACTCGCCTGCTCCGGCTTTTTCCAGATTATTCCGTACATTTCGGTGCAATTCATGCATCTCCCTTATTTACAGAATGACAAAGTACGGTAAGCACGAGATGGGGGCAAACCGTTCGTACAGCACGTCTGGGCTCTAACACACAACACTGGGCACAGCATGTGATGTCACTATGGCTAGGTTCTCGCTGGCCAATCACCACGGGCGATTAACATGTGAATGTGCCCCATTTATTTCTCAGCCATTTCACCACACTGCCAAAAATCAAACTCACAATCCCAACCGTTTTGTTACAATAAACATGTCTGTGATATGCCGTTTACTTCTCAGACATTCTAGTCCCACCGCAAGAGAAAAGAGTAGAAAATAACGGCGGCTCGTTTGCCAACGAGTCGAGTCTAAGAGTCAGTTTTTAAGAATGTCTGAGCGATGAGAGCCGCCTCACGCACTGAAGACATTATTAAGCCAATCAGATTTCAGTAGCCAAACCATTCAAACTATACATCTGTCAGCTCCGGAGTGGAAGCTTCAGCAAACGGGTTACAGTGTTGACAGTGAACAGAACTAAAGAATAAAAGAAACATACTGAGGGTGAAAAGTGACAAATTAATGCTCTGTACAGGGTTACCCCAGTTCAGGCAGAATAAATTTCCATGACTTTTCCAACACTTTTCCAGTACCACAACAAAATTTTCCAAAACCCACAAGTTTGCTTTGATTTGATGATCATGCAGTTTCAGATAGTAATTGTCCTGCCTTCTGTGTGCCACGCCCCCTCGTTAACCTTGTGTGGAATCCCCATGTGGTCAGCGGTTTCTGGTCGTTATTAGTCCTCTGTGTTTAGTCCGCGTTTCAGTTTGTTTCCCCAGTCCGGTCATTGTAATGTCACTGCGCGTTTTCTTGCCTGCCCATTTTATTAAACCCCGTGTTCCCCAATTTCCTGTCTGCCGTTCCTCTGTCTCCGCTCCGCGTCCTACATACCGCACGACAGTAATCATGCATTCCATTTGCCTTGGGATCCGATCTTCGGATTCCGACATTACGTCACATCCGCTAAAAACTCAGGAAAACCAAGTCGGATGCGTTCCATTTGCCACAGAAGTAGCAATACCATGAAAATTCATATGCCCATATGAAAAAACAAGATTTTTTGCTTACCCGGACAACTTGTCGGATTTAAGGTACCTCAGCAATATCACTTGATAACACATTACGCGCTGTGCTTCGCGTATAAAACTCCGTAGCAACACGTTCACAGATAAGTTGGACGGTATAGTGTGTGCAGTGAGAAGTAGTGCTTAAACAGGATAAAACTACAACTTTCCCTTCTGTTGATAAAGGGCGCAGCCATATTGAATTCTGAAATCGGGATCCTCTGTGCTGTCCGAGATATTTCTCAGATCTCCGAGAAACGGGAGCACGCATGTCGTCACTCTCGGCTTCAAAACTCGGAATCCGCAAAAAAAAAAATCATCAGAACACAACAGGGTCAGGAACTGGTTAATGAGTGCCAGCAATTTCCAGCCCTTTTCAACTGCAGAGGATAAGGGATTCAGAAAGTACAGCCACGCTCCCAATCCAATGTGCTGTATGTCATTCTGAGCAGGTAAGCATTCTCTCAAAGAAAGACATGCAGCTGTACGATGAAGCTCGTAGGGGCTTCGCTGAGAGAACAGGTTCAAAAAGCTTCAGTAAGTTTGTCTGGCCATGGGGACCTACAAGGAACTACAAATGGGACCAGAGTTCCTGCGGTGGGAACACAACAAAAGTTCCAGGTTTCTGAAAAAGGTTCCGGCGGTGGGAAAGCAACCACTGATGAGCACAGACACACTCACCATGCAGCCGCTACAAAGCAAGCGAGCGTGCTTGAGGGTGATTATGAGCCAAAGGTGCATAACATAAAATTTCATTCCATACGTTCTAGATGTGCCATATGTGGTCTCTCTGGGTTAATTAAGAGCTAAAGGGTGCACTGGGGAAATGTAAACCATGCGCAAAAACCCACTGCTAGGCAACAGCATGCTATTTGTCAACAGTCACATGGGGTGCTTTCCCACCGCACCAAGTACGGTACTTTTGGAACTTTCGCTTTTCCATCAACTTCCGGTAAAATACCAGCACCAAAAGCTCCAGCACCGAAAGTGCCAAACCAGCTGGGGTATTTCCTTAGTACCTCGGGGGGGCTTTCTTTGTCGATTGGTTATGCAAATAGCCTGCCTCTAACTGTGTTCAAGGCGGTGTTTGTATTGTGTTTCAAACTCAGAAAACAACAATAAACAAAAGGGAAAAAAACTGATTTGATCATAAGGACATAGAGAACAAAAAGATTTGGATTGCATGACAAGACATTAAGTATTGTGTTGAAAACTCTAATACAGCATGCATATAGCGTGCTGTCCTAGCGATGTGATTTTGTTGTAATAAATATTGGGGTACTTAGAAAAAAGTTCATAAGTTTGTCACAAACTGTCTGAATGGCAAGGATGAAAATGATTATGATCTTCTGAGAATGTATGCAGCGTTCATGTAAAAGCAGTGGACGTAAACTTTAAACTGATTTTTAAACATAAGTTATAAGAGGAATAATTAAAATTGCAAAACTTGCCAAGTTTTTTTTCCTATGACAGTAACAGACCGAAAATATTTTTGTGAAATTTTAATCACCGTGCTAAAATGTCCGTACAGAAAAAGCCTTAATATAGCTGCCTAGCGATGTTAGAATTGTATGTGCCTGACGTTGTGATGTCATTTGGCACCGGTAGCAGTTTTTATGCACAAGATACCAGACGTTTGAGAACGTACCAAAAGTTCGGTATCTGGTGCGGTGGAAAAACACCCACAGCATCACGGCCACATAAATGTAACCTTTCTGCATGTGTAGAACAGTCCCACTTCCAGCGTGAGAGTGATTTTTCATTTTATGTGTGGCTAAGGAGACTCCAGTAGTTAACCACAATGGCTAATACTTTTGAAAAGTCAGAGGACCCTGCTGCAGGGCCCCTGAGTAAAGCCCTTAACCCCAGGGGCCCCAAGCACCAGGGGCCCCTGCTCTCTCATTTGTACGTCACTTTGGATAAAGTGCCTGCCATATCAATGTAACAAACAGAATGGATGCCTGCCTGCTATAGAGTGAGTGTGTCACACGAGCTTGTGGGTTCAGCCGCCTGCCCCCCCCCCGCTTACCTGACATTCCAGCCGTAGTAATGCACCAGGTACAGCACCTCCCCGTCGTCCATCTCCGTGTTCTTGATGTTGGCCTCATAGATCTTCTGCGTCTTGCCCCGGCCGTATTTGACCCTGACCTTGGTCCCGGTGAGCGAGTGCTCCGGATCTTCATCACCATCTTCATCGACCTCCCTCTCGTCCCTGGGAAGGAGCGAGAGGCTTGGTTCAGAAGGGGGGCGCCACTCAGAGGAGCGTTAGAAGGGCATGATGCCTTCTGAGCCTGCGGGCCACAGCAAGCCGGCGCGCTGGCAGGGGGGAGAGCGGCAGACAGGCAGCAGAGACACGCCGGACGGAGCCGCCACCGGCGGCATCACGTCTGAATGAGCCTCTTCCTGACTCAACAATAATCCCAAAACAGGCAATTAAAATATGACACCAAAGGCACAGAAAAGTAGGACAATAAGGTCTACCCTGCTGAGAGCAGCCGCCATTTACCAAAACACAACTCTGCAACGATTATTCATATAAATACAGATGGCAGCGGGTCCTGTGCTGTAAGGACACCGTACAAAGACGCGCCTCTTTATGCCAGCCGTACATCTGCAGGCCTTATAGTGCCCGTATGCCGGCCCGCCTGCCCAGCACAACATGCAACATGACACTCATTTAAGGCACCTGGTCCTCCTATCACACGGCACTCCTAGCAGGGCAAACGTCGCGTCTGCGGGCTGACGAGCAGCAGCAAGCTAGCGCTGCGAGGAAACAAGAAACCAAGCTCATCATGCACTGTACTAGTCATCTCTCCGAACAAAAGGGAGCAGCTCATTTGTGAATGTTAAATACTGAAACGCACATGTGAGCCTGCAGTCTAGGTGCAACCTGATGGAGAATTGCAGGTTGAATTTAATGTGTGTGTAATTGCTGCTAATCACACAGATGAAATGAGACTTCAGTCATTTTCCCCACATAGTAAACGTTAAGGATGCAGGGCATGGGACATCCTTTAAACACCACCAGCGAGGTACTTTGACATATCACACCTTTCATTTTTGTCAATGGGCCATCGTATTAGAATACCGCTCACCCATCAAGAAAACAATGGGAGAGTCAGTAATCCGCACAGCAGCGGAGAAACCGTCACCCCAAAAAAGCCATGAAAGCCATAATACAGTCATGTTTGTGTCATATTTTAGTGCCCATTGATTTTAGTATTGGTTTCAATAATCCCACAACAGTAATAAAAGCCTTGTTTTAATATAAATACCAAAAGAACTGATCACTTTAATTGCTATTACAGTAGAATATGGGAAGTCTTACTATTGCGAAAAGACAAAATGTGCCATGTAATGATTCTCATATTCATCTTACATTTCTCAGAGTAACAACGCAAATAGAATGACAAGCCGTACATACTTGTATGCAGCAGTTTTATTACCTTGTAAACAGTCTGTAGGGTTTGCAAACTACCACAACGCCTTTGATGCAGCTAATTTTAGGTTTTTAATGGAATAATACAGATTTGCTGTAAGACTTGCGCCGTGAGCGTGAAAGTCTGAAAGTGTTATGCCAGATGCATGAGTTGGCAAACCCTGAAAATGAATATATTTTTAAAATTGTGTTTCACCCAAGTTGATTTGTATAGAAAATAACATTACTTTATACAGTTGTTAAAAAGCGGAAACTTTGATGAACATGAAATCAACTACGTCCACTTTTTTCCCCCCAACATTTTATATAATACATACTAGGACTGGGCGATATAATATCGATATATCACGCATGCGCAATAATCACTAGGGCTTCAGATGACAGATGAAGCATTTGGCCATGCGCCAGCTTTTCGGTGAAAAATGGACATTTATTTACGCCCACAATTTAGTAGTATGGCTAATATTAATGAGGCTTTGTATGACGTCCAAAAGTCATTATTAGTATAAATACGGCATATCCTTATGTTTAATAAATGTGTCAGACTTTGAACTGCAAAAAGTACCACCACACCGCCGACGTGTTTTTACCTTGTTTATCCACAAGATCTCCTCTTTTAAAAGATGTGGTGGCTGCTCTTCTTCACCGCGACTTCAGTGCATATTGCACTGAGGAACACCAAACCGTAGTATACCAAACCGTAGTATACCAAAACAGTATTATGTGGGGTGCTCCGCTAATCGAATTTAAGAAACAAAGTTTATACAGATTACTAACTTTTGGGTATCACAAAACGCATCTCATTAATATTTTAGCCATACTACTAATCCTCTTACCAAATTATGGGCATAATGTCCGTATTTCACCGAAAAGCTGGCATCCGGCCAAATGCTTCGTCTGTCATCTGAAACCCTGGTGATTATTGTGCATGTGCGATATAATATCGATATGATATCGCCCAGCCCGATTTTATTACTTTTTTTACACACGAGTGCCAAAAGCGGAACTAATGCGACGCACCGTTCTTCACGGGTAAATTAGCACAGCGCACCCAAACACTGTAGCACTAGTGCCCAAGAAAAGTGCTGCTACATCTGTAATATGGAATTGGTTCGGTTTTGCGAGGTCGGACACAGACCAAACAAGTCCTCGTTGCAAAGACTTTAAAAACTGTTGCAACCAAAGGAAGCAACGCGACTAATTTATTCTAGCATGTAAAGCAGAGGCACGCAGCAGAGTGGGAGAAGTGCCGCTCCCAGCGAAATGAAAATAGCCGCAGCACCAGCACAACAAAGTTAAGCAAGCAACTGTCCCTGACACATTTTCGAACTGTGTGCCATATGATAAGAATCGGGCACGATGGAAGACGATAGCAAACGCTGTCGCGATGTATAGTGCAAAAGACATGGTGCCCATACATACTGTGGAAAAGCTGGGATTCATTAACATGCTAAAAGTTTTACACCAAAGTATGTGCCTCATTTTTCTTAACACTGGCAATTTTTCAAAAGCTTTCTTTTGCACTATGTCAAGCCCAATGGCATAAAGTATTTACTTAATACCAAGCTGACATGATAATAGAAAAAAACACACACAATTTTATTACAATATTACTTATTACTTTTATTTATAAGTTTGAGGGTGTATTGTGTTGTTGCCAGTTTGAAAATAAGCTATAGAGAAAGCTTTCTAAAACTTTACAAGTTTCTAAAAGTGTTTACAATGGCGTGGTCTGCCATCTCACTTACAAGCATCTTTTATGGCTTGTCAGATTGCACTTTAACCCTAAAGTAAAAAAAAAAAGCTAAATAAAGTTAAAACTTGTTTTGAACCATTTTTGTCATCTGTAGTTTGATTTTGAGTAGGGGAGGGGAAAATCGATTAAAATCGGAAATCGGATTTTTTGTGAAAAAAATCAGACATTTTATTTTTAGGCCATATCGCGCAGCTCTAGCCCAGCCCTAATACATACGGCGTTTAAAAACTTTTCAACTTTACGATTTCAGGACAGCACAGCCACTTTTTTGGTTGAGAGTGTTAGATTTGCTGCCGTTATGATCACTAATGTCACTGGCATGGGAAACGGTAGTTTTAATGTTGAACAGCACAAAGTCGGACAAACTGCACAATCACTCTGTCCCACAGCATCAACACAGCTGTGCCATCGGAAACCAGTGACAGGGGCACCTGAGCCGGGCGCCACACAAACAGGGAAATCCCATTACAGGCTGATCATTCTCAGCGTGCTGTGGGGGGCACATCTGACGAAGATGCAAACCACTGCACTCTGCAGGCCCTCTGATTAGTTTGTGATCAAATATCAGTGTCACTCCACACATGTGCGTCAGCCCTTAAGGCTGGAGTGGCAGCTAAAGCAGAGGCCGGCGGCTCAGCGAACACATGGCCATCAGTCAGTAGGCGGCAGCATGGGGGAAGTGGGTCCCACGGCCCACCTGCACCGACACCTGCCAGCAGCAAGAGGCAGGGTGCGGTTACCCTGGTAACTCCTCCTGCCTGGCGGGCCGGCGGCCCTGATGAGAAGCTGCAGAGAGCTCCAGTGAGCTCCAGTGACCACTGTGGCATCTAACTGCACTCCATCTGACTGGTGTAACTGACCTAATCACTTAATACAATTACATCGATGCAGTACCCATGTAATACTGGTTATACAGGTGGCTGTGTACCTTAACACGCCGGGGGGTGGTACAGTGATGTCAGACACACAGACAGAGGGCAGCACTGAGTACCCAGCACACGGTCACGCCACAGCGCTCTTCAGCATACCTCTCCCTGGGACGCAGCCGATCAGCATCATCATCCTCGTCCTCCTGCTCCTCCTCGTCCGACTCCTTGTCTGACTCCTCCAGCCGCCGGCTCCGCCTCTCGGGCTTCGCCCCCCTGGAAGGGGTGTCGTCGGCTGCCCCGTCCGGCGGCTCCCCAAAGTCCCCCAGCTCTTCGGGCTGCTCCTCGTCTTCCTCAACCTTCTCCTCTTCGACGGGCTCCTTGTCCTCTGGCTTGACTGGGGTCACCGAGGCAGTCTTTCGCCTCCCCTGGGATGGAGCGGAGTGAGCTGTCACTGTGCTGCACAGACGCGACTCAGTCTAACTTTACATACAGTTTGCCCATTTCCCTCCTGACCGCTGGCGCAGTTACACACGCATAAGTGCGATGTCACCATACAGCGGCGCCTCACAGGAGGCCAAGGAGCCACCAATGTCACCCGGCCCTCCCCGCACCCCCAGCCCCTCTCACCCGGTGGGAGCGTCCCTCCTTGGCTTCTTCCTTGTCGCTCTCACTGCCCGACGACTCCTCAACCAGCAGGGGCTTCTCCTCCCTTGGCTCCGGCTCGGCATCCCTCTCCGGCACATTCCCCACCCCTGGCACCCCGTCGCTATCACCCGGCTCCACCATGGTCTCCACCTTGTTCTCCACCATGGTCTCCACCTTGTTCTCCACCTTGTTCTCCACCATGGTCTCCACCTTGTTCTCCACCTTGTTCTCCCCCATGGTCTCCCCCATGGTCTCCCCCATGGTCTCCCCCATGGTCTCCACCTTGTTCTCCACCATGGTCTCCACCTTGTTCTCCATCATGGTCTCCACCTTGTTCTCCATCATGGTCTCCACCTTGGTCTCCACCATGGTCTCCACCTTGTTCTCCACCGGGGCAGGGGGGCGGGGGTCGTTGTGGTGGATAGTCCGGAACTGGATGCAGGCAGAGCGGCAGTACTCCTCAAAGCCATACAGGTACCTGGGAAGCAGGGGAGGGATCAGCTGGGAAGGAGGTGCAAGGCTGGGGGTGGCAGTGGTCGGCACACCGTCAGTCCACTTACTTCCTGTAAGCCGTCTTCACATTGTAAGAGGCAGCGGAGTTGAGGACAGGGATCCCGAGGTCCATGTAGATCTGCTTCCACACAGCACCACTTTCGATCTGCAGGCAGGCAGGCATCAGGACATGCACTTAATGCTCACGGAAACCTCACTGATCACGCTCAACAAAACCAAAGCAAATGGCAACCATGCCATGACAACAAGGCTACAGCCAATGAGAGTGCGAGATACAGGGTGAGGAGAAACCCGGCGGAGGACTTGTACATCACGGCTACCAAACATTCTGTTTCGCAAGGCAAAAGAATGACAAGCAAATGGGCATTTTGTCCTGAAATAACACTGAAATCATCATGCATAATTCAGTGCTGGTAACATCTAACAAACTAAAACAACTTCTGCTACAAGAGATTAGAGCTGAAAGCAACTAATTTTATATTTGTTGTTGCATGTGTTTAAAGAAATGTGTTTTCTCTGATTCAGGACAGTTTTTCAGCACATTTCATGTTCACTCTAGACAGTTTTTGTATGGTGAGCACTGGCCCAGGACAGTTATCACAAGTCACATCTGAAGTGTTAGCCTGAGCAGATTCCTCCCCGGATTCCCAGTGCGGGGGGAGCACAGCTAGTCAAGCCCAGCAGACCCCAAGAGCACCAAATAACAGCATCGTCATGTCTGCGCTACGTGTGACAGTATTTCAGCCGTTACGCCACCAAGGGCAGGCCAGCCAGCAGCAGTTTAGGAGCCGATCAGATAGCCAAGAGAAGCGTGACATCACAGGCACTTCAGTCCAGTGTGCGAAACCATTCTCAGGTATCATCACATCACAGGCTCCTTCCTGCAGAAACCCAAACACTAAGCTGGAATCCCGAGGGCAGGTGAGACGACAGTGCTCCCTGTGAAGGCCTGCGGAGCTGTAATGATGTAATCTATTCTATAAAGATTTTATCTATTAGTTTGGGGAGTCAGACACAAACTTATGCTAAACACAGCCCTCACTGAAACATTTCTGCAATGTGACTCTTCAGCAGTGAGACAACAGCGTTGCCAGCACAGTAACGCAGGACAGTCACGCCTCACTGATGGTTTGCACTGTTAGCCAAATGTTGCGGCAGCTAAGAACACTAATACGACAGACAGGTTTGAGATGGAGTACTCTTGTTTTCTCCAAGGTCCAAATTTCAACAGCCACACAAAGCCACGATCCTTGTAGGCAGGTCCCACCGACTGGAAAGAGGGAACAGGTTGGATCATGTCATCTGGATCACATTGCTTTCCTAACCTCGAGGACCTTCGAGGATGTTGGGGGGGGGGGTTACTGTGTTCAGCATATAAACAGAGCCTAAAAATGTGCCGAGCTGTGGATAGAGAATGTACCGTGCCAAGTTCACGCTACACAACTTTATCTCATATTGTATGCTTGCCGACAGTTTTTGGAGACCGCCGATAGAAAGCTCCGGATCAGAGGCAAATCGGTATTCGCTCTGCTCAGCAATGCAGTGCCAATTTGCCCAACTTCGGATTCTTCATAGACATGATACGTCAGACTCATATCTAACAGCCTAAATATGTCTTATGCATAGCGTTATTTCCCTGTGTCACTTCTCACGTGTGTTTTCATGACAAAGTGCAGTTCGGAGGCCAGAAAGTTTAGTCAGGGATTCCTCCTGGTGAAAGATCTTGTAGTGTGACCCTCCCAAGTCGCTGACCAGTCATGTAACGAGCAAACTACGTCGCTTTCAAGAGTCCCGATTACAAGATCGTTGTGTAGCGTGAACAATACAGCTATCTGACGACACTGAAAGTCATGTACAGTAAACTTAGCACAATGTTTACAAACCTGAATGAATCAAAATGGAAAATGTGAATTGTCACACAGACTTGACAAAGACAGCTGACATGGGTGTGAATGATGGGACTCACGCTGTCACAGCCGCCTTGGTGGTAAACCAGCCTGAAGAGCTTGAAAAGGTTCAGATCCTTGTAACCCAGAACGGGGGGCTTGTTAATTGGTGTCCCTGCAGGGGAGGGGCAGAGGGGAATCACACAGAATAGGCACATTGGGGTCAGTTTGCATCTGCAGTGGTGGTCATGTTTACATACACTTGCGCTACAGACATGCATGCCATGCTAGTAGTGAGCATTCAATAATTTCCAGAACTTTTTTGGTGGCAGAATGATTTGACTGACAAAGTACCCTCACACAGCCACCTTTAGCACAGAAGTTTATATACTGTGGATTTTCTGAAACCCTCACAGGGTCAAAATTACACATACAGGGTCGGAAATGCACATACAGCTACTAAGACTATTCATTTAGTGGTGCTCAAAGCTCCAAAATGTCTTTCAACTTGGTCCCCAGGCCACCTAACTGCCTGTTACTGATGCAGATTTCCTACAGCCAACAGCTTCTCTGTCACCATAAAGAGGTCTCGTTTGACAGCACTCATTGCATGGACCAACACACATCACAATGTGAAAGCTCAAGGAGCTGCGTGCTGATGTGAAAAGAGGATCACATTTAGCAGTACTTCAATGCGTCTCAGAGCCATTTCTGAACTTCAGATTCCGAAATCAGATTAAAACAACTGTTAGTAAGTATATTATTACAGTAAGTCATTTGGAGCTGTAGTCACTTTGCTCAGGTCTGAACACCCAAACTGTCACCCTGAGCTGAGAGAAAGCTGGCCTGGGTGGACAGAAACAATCCAAGAACCACCAAGAAACAGGTCTGCCATGGACTGAAGCTGCTCGAACACCAGAGACATTGCCCAGTCAAGCAAGTGTTATGTCACCATAGGGAGAGAGGCTGCCATCCAAGAAAGAAGAGCAAACTCCAAAAGCGACACCTTAAGATTATGGGTGATCACAGACAAAAAGCACGTCTTCTGGGGGAATATCTTCAGATGAGATAAAGACTGAGCTGTTCGGCCACAATGACCAGAGGTACGTCTGGAGGAGGTGGTGAGTCATTCAACCCCAAGATCACTGTATGAATTGTTCCGCATGGTGTATCAGCAGCACCATGCTGAGGCCTCAAATCATCAGCCATAAGGCAGAAACTTGGACACAACTGACCCTAACTTGGACAAACACCCGAAACACAAATCAAAGCCAGGCTAACATTAAGCGTTTGGAATATCATTCCCAAGTCCTAACCTCAAACCTACAGAAAGAACAGGGATTGAGCTACAAAGTCAGGTCAGTGCAAGAAACCAACAAATTTGGTTGAACTCTACCAATTCAGCCAACGAGAGCGAATGTCCAAGTCAAATATCCGAGCAGAACTCTCCCAGAAGCTTATTGATGGGTACCAAACGCATCTGATCAAGGAGAAACATGCCAAGGGACATTCAACCAAATTACACCTGCTGCACATACACTATTGACCCTATATGTATAATTTTGACCGTGCTGGTTTCAGAAAACCCACAAATTCAAATTTAGATAAAGATGTATGGTGTACAATCATTCCATACCACAAAAAAGTTGTGGAAATCACTGTAGGTGCAATACTGCCATGACATACATAGCTGTGACAAGCATGTAAACTGATGAGTGTGTGTGTGTGTGTGTATATAACTTATTTGAAAAAGGGAAAAAAAAAAAGTGCTCCAAGCAGTTCCACCCTCCTTAGGTAGGGTGCTAAAGATCAGGGATTACGCCTCACCTCTGTCCTCCATGAACTTGTAAAGCTGCTGCAGGAAGTGGTCCCGCTCCTCAGGGTCTGGTTCCTCTTCCGGCTGCGGGAGTACACACACACACACGTACGTTTATATACATATCTTTGTGGGAACTCTCCATTTCCATGGGAAAAACTCTAATAAACAATGACAACCTTAACCCCTACCCAGCCCTAACCTTAACCAAACATAATACAAGACCTTTTGGCATTTTTAGTTTTCTGACTGCAGTTAGATTTTGAGTTTATTTAAGTTCTCACTGTATTTGGTTCCCACAATGTAATATATACATGAGCCACACATACAGTGCGCAGTGTGACAGGGAGCGCCCAGCTCGCCAGGCGAGGGGGAGAAGTCGCTCTCCCAGCGATACTTCTGGACTCTGGCAGTCCAACAGAACCCTGCCATATACTCAAGCTTCTCCTTTACTTTACTGTGCTCAGGCAAAACAAAACACGGCACGCAGACGTTAGGGCTCGCTCCCTGTCTGGGGAACGCTAAGTCACGCCGCAGCCAGGAGCTGATCAGATAGCCAAGAGAAGTATGACATCACAGGCACTTCAGTCCAGTGTGCGAAACCATTCTCAGGCATCATCACATCAACCCATATTAAGGCTCCTTCCTGCAGAAACCCAAATACTAAACAAATATCCCAGGGGCAGGGGCAAAGGGCTCCCTGCTCACATCAGCATTTTACCACTAGCAAAGCTGTCAGCATAATGTCATGGTTATGTCCATGAGGCCTCCAGGACTAATTATAGACTATGAATACAGAAGAACTGCACACACATTAACCTCAACTCCAATACAGGGATGTAAAATAGTCACTAGTGGGAATAAGGCACAACTAATTCAGCTGAAGATAGTATTTTACTTTAAAGCAAGAGGAAATCCTGATGCAAAGCATGTGTAATGAGTTCACGGAAAATAGGGCCAGTAAGGAGAATGTGATACGTGCAACAAAGCTAAAGCAAAGCTGCCATCTTCTTCTGGACTATTAATTAAGCAGGACGCATTCCTGACCTACAAACTTCCTATGGTGGGTATACAACTAAAAAGGCAGGGATGCTTCATTTTGTAAACAGAGACGTGAAATTAGAACTAGACTAAAACGAAGAGCAAAAAAACAGTCAGAACCCCCGCCCCCCCCAAATAGTTCTGAATGCCACAACAATCTGTGCTCTGGAGAGCCCCATGTCATTTGCTGGTTAGCAAAACGCTCGCATCTGAAAAAATCCAGCAGAACCATATAAAGAAAAACCAAAACTAAACACAGCTGACTTCTAGATCAGAGCTTCACAAAGTGAGTTTAAGAAAAAATTCAGGAACTAAGCAGAGACCATTTGTGTGGTACAACGCAGAGGGAAACATGAGGACAGGGATCAGGCTGTGCCCCCCCCCCCCACCCTGGGCACCGAGCCAGACTACACAACCCACACTCAATGGAGAGGAAGCTGGGGGTTGCTATGGGGACGACGTCACAAGCCACTCTGCTGGCCATTGGCTTCGGCTCTGGAAGCAGGAAGAATGATCTCCATTGTTGTTCTCGGAAGCTGGGGCTTTTCCCTGCACGCTAATGCTCCCCATCGGGCTCAACCACAAGACGCGAGCAGGACACGCTCAGAAGCCATCAAAGGATGAGGCCTTCTGAAAGGGATTCGGGCTGCACGTGCAGATGCACTCCAGCAAATTTGCCCTGGTCGGAACCACACGACGGAGTGAATGAGAATCGAAAGTGCTGAAAGCATGCACAGAACCCTTCAGGAACCATGCCGGAGAACATCTGTGAGCTCTGAGTAGAAGATGCATTTAAATTTAAATTCAGCAGCCTAATGGACACCGGGCCACCTTTACAAATCAAGATACCATCCAGATTCCCTGAAGTTACCCAGACAGTCACCCATTAAATAACACACCAGTGTCATGCATAGCAGCGAAAGACAAATCATAAAACAGCAGTGTTTTTCCCAGCAGTATTTCCCCAACAGAGGAGGATAAACTGGAGCTTTCATCAATACCGTCGGCCCCTAATCCACGATTAAAAATAAATACATTTTTAAAAATCAACACTGAACCACTTTGACCACCCTGTGGAAAAACAGCCTGTCCTACCTCTTCTTCCTCCACTTTTTCATCTTCGTCACTGTCCTTTTCCTCCCCATCCTCGTCGTCGCTACTGGACGACTCCAAAATCTCACTCATGTCCATCTTCCAGCTCGCAGGTATGGTCTTGGCTTTCAGGAAAAGCGCAGCTTCGTCAAATCCTGGGAGGGGGAGAGCCAGGTCAGGAGCCGCTCCAGACGCGACCAGAGGTCAGATCCAGCGGAGGAACCCCCACACGAAGACTTGCCTTTTTTGCTAGAGAACTCCAACTTGGAGATGTTGTCTGTGGTCAGTACGCGGATTTCTTTTCTTGCTACTGTGTAGCTGAAAAGAGGAAGTATAAAAAATTAAAATTAAATAAGCAAAGCTCCTCCCCCCATCAAACCAAAACAATGTTCCTGATCAGCCACCCAGCATTAGCAAACAGACGCCTCTACAGGCTGTTGACTTTGACGAGCTGAAAAAGGCTCGACTCGGCACACTAGAGAAGCGGTCAATGACAGAATGCAGGGGCTCTGTCACCCCGTGACCAATTCAGAGGGGAAACTCACAATTTAGAGTCTGCAAAGGAGCGCACCAAACATTGGTCCTTTCTGACTGTCAGGTCATCATTGCAGCTGGGTGATATCACCTAAGCAAAATGGGGGAAAAAGCCAGTTATAAACCAATACCCAGCAATGCAGCGATGTAGTTTCCCCATTCCTCCCATATAAAAACATGGGAACATGTTCCAAGTTCATTGCACCCTTTGCTAGCTATTAAACACAAAAAAGCAATGTAACTACAAATGTACCCATACATGAAAGCAAGTCATCAGTACTGAGGAATTTTTCCAAAAGGGCGGAGTAGACTGACCAGGCCGAGGTACCACATGGCCCGCTCCGCACCCGCCTGCACGCAGGCCACCTTCCCCAGCAGGTCGTCGTTTAGCCGCCGCCTGTCCTCATCCTCCTCTTCGCTGGATGAAGACTCCCTCTCATCCTCGGCGCTGGGGAGGCAGCGTTAAGAAAGCAGTGCATCAGGCTGGTTACACACACACACACACACACACACACACACACACACTACACCTAGCAAGTGCTTCCACGGGCAGAAAGCTCCGGAAACGGGGGGGGGGTTATGGGGGTGGGGTGCGACACTCACATGGGCAGCGAGGACCTCCTCCCACGGTTTGTCTTCTTCCCAATAACAGGAGTGCCAAAGTGCTCTGGGTTGGTGAGGGGGAGCTGGTCCAAAGTCTGAGGTGAGGGGGGGGGTGAAGGTGGGAGGTTAATATGCACCTGTAGGTCTTCACAGAGCAGCCATGTGCATAGAGCATGTACGGTGCATAGAGCATGTACGGTGCATAGAGCATGTACGGTGCATAGAGCATGTACGGTGCTCAGTACCTCGCTCTCAGCAAAATGCCTCTCGCCCTTCAGGCACAGCGACGTCCGCCGCAGCGTCTTCTCGTCGCCATCATCGAACACTGAGTGCAGAGAAAGAATAATGGGGGGGGGGGGGGGGGGGGGGGGGGGGGGGGGGGGGGGGGGGGGGGGGGGTTAAAGGCTGGGCCGAGCTGGGGCCGGGCCTGCTCGGCCTTTAACAGGAGCCGGGGGCACCCAGCGAAATGCCAAAAAGCAGAAGGCAAACGAGCTTATCACGGTTTACAGTGGATAACTGGGCACACTGCATATGCTGCAGCCAGAACCACGTCTTTGGCAGCAGAGAGTACCTTTACAAGCCGACTGTGTGGTGGCTGAAAAGGAGGGGGGGGCAATGTGATCGACGGGGGGCTCTGCAGCCTGTCATGAGCATAAACGCAAGGGGAGGAAGTCGATCTCATGAGGAGCCTTTTACAGAAAGTCCAGCTACCTCCACTTACCAGGGGGGTAGAGCAGAGCCATGTATGAAGGGACATGTCAGTGTTAAGGTTTCTTAATAAATACCTTCACAGAACGCAAGAATCCTATACTTCATATCAGAAGTGGGACAGTAACATGCAGTCTGGGAGTGAATGGGGGTCCTGTGCCACAGCACCCCACAGCCCTGTCAGCTCTCAGGGAGGCACAACTTACTGTCCTTACATCGGGAAAAGTGGGTCTTTGATGCACTGACCAAAATTAAGACGAAGGCGGAGGATGTAGAAAATCAGCACAAAGAGACTCTCCAGGGGTCATGCTAAGGCAAATGTGAGCTGGCTGTCATTTAACCAAGATATTAACTTATTAACTTACATAAAGGAAAGCCGCCTCATGTTACACAGGGGCTGCAATATGAAAGCATACATGTACAGCACAGAGTAAATAAGTCACCCATTATGAAGGCACACAGATAACGAGCAGAGTAAATAATGACTGCACTGCTATAGTAGCGGCCTGCAATCAGACTGTCCTTCCAGACATGGAGAACAGAGATGAAGACCAAGGCGGAGAAGCTCTGCAGCATCTGGAAAAATGCCTTTCCTGCCACACTATTACAATGTGGATTTTGCATCCTCTATCAATCTTTTCTGGAGTGCAAACAAACATTAAGTGGAAGGATAGCTGCCTGTTTAACCAACTTTAACAGGACCAGTGGAGCCACAACACAGGGGAGCCTTCGCCCCCCACCTTTCTGCTGCACTTGTCTGACAGAAGCATAAGGTTTGACTGAATTTGCCTGTAAAATCTCTCCTGCACAAGACTTCTCCCATTTTCTTAAAACAGAAGACGATCAGTTACAGGAGATGCCAGGACCTATGACCTGGACAAACTTGACAAGAACCGTCCAAAACCAGACAACCGCAGCTGGCTCCAGAGCCAAACTAACTAACTCGGAGTGAAGAGAGCGCAGCAGTTAAAGTTTCATTAACGGAGACACGTTGCTAGTGTCCAGGCTATCTGCTGACCTTTCATCCCCTGCACACGTCTGTTTGAGGTCATGCAGAACAGATCCCGGGAATCTGAAGGGATGGAGACTCACTCTGGTTTTGTTATAAAAGCAGTTCACGTCACAAAACAGTTCTTACAATCTGTACTATTTCTGCCCCAAAAACACCAATAATTCAATTAGTACCAGCGGCGGGGAACACGTACAGTTCAGTGCACTCTCCTGCAAATCTAACCTACCTCAAACTGCCTGCTACCTTCTTGAGTGTGCATGAGAGCTGCAACCACACACCCCTGTCTCGCTCGCCTTTGTCTTCTCTTACTCCCCCTTGTATTAAATACTGCCTGCTGCAATCCACCGTTGTCCCAGCCTCCTAAAAATAGACGACTGCTGCTAGATGCCTTGCTGGCCCTTCTGCGCCACGTGCATTCCAGCTCACGGCAAGCTGCGTGCATCCAGCGGTCGAGCTGGATGGCCAATGGGGTGCAAACCCCCCCCCCCCCAGCACTCACATTCCCTATTCAGCATCCAAGTGTGAGGAAACACCAGTCAGGCCCATCCACTATTGCAGCTGCCCAGTGGCCCACTGCAGCCAGGCCAGGCCAGACTCTGGGGGGCAGATTTAGTTTTTGGCCACAGGGGGCCATAAATGTGCAAATGCTGGTACGTGTTCAGGGCTGAGTGTTCAGGGGCCACAAACAGTGTGGGTAAAAAGCATGTGACCTGAGAAGCTGTAAGAAGAAAAACCACCCCCCCATCGCACCCCTGCCATGTCCTCTGACGCAAACTTCCTGAAGATGCCCAACAGCCGATGTGAAACGGCAATCACTCCCAGCAGCGGCTCCCTGCCTGAAGAGGCTGCATCCAGACCATTTCTGCTATTACTTACTGCCGTCACAGAAAAACACCTGCATGCTAGCATGTCGATCACCAGAAACCAGTTTCTCAAATTCAGGCTGGACGCCACTTTTAAATCAGCACCAAACATCTACTTAATGTCAACTATAACCAGAGCCAACTATATCCATCAAACACATCAGAAAAAAAATAACCCAAAGTCATGAAGTGACTTTAAGCAAATATAACAGCTAACCTGCAATTAAAGCATCCAGTACGCTGTCATTCTGTTTGGGGATTTGTTTTCACAGAAGCAAGCTGCTAGCATAATTGCTGCTGGATTCAGAACTAATTGCGACACTGTGCCTGTGAAAAGCGTCACGTTAACCGGAAGGTGGCTTACCCACAGTGTACCAGCTGGCGTCCGTGAGCTTGCTAATGACCCCCTCACTAAGCCCACCTTCTGGGTTCTTCACCTCCACCGTGGAGCCGACCTGCAGAGGAGGAGAGGCCTACCTGTGAGCATAACCTGGAGAAACACGGAGCGGTGCCCCGCCTCCCAAAAGTTCATACAAATCACTCTGGTTCTTCTGTGATAACAAGAACTTCAATCCATTCACACAAGTGATGCCCAGAGACTAAGAGAACTATGAGAAGCCCAGACTCCATAAATACCTCTGGAGTTACTCTGTTGAGTAAACAAAATATTAATTACATTTGACTTCAGAAAAAAACAGTAACATGTCAATGAAGACAAGAAATCGCAGACCTCAAAACGGGACAAAATGATCCATTACATCAAACCATTAGTACACAGAACAAGTAAAGAGAAACATTAGGGAACATCCATGCTAATTGCACATTTAATGCCGATATCTTGTTGATGAAGTCTGAAAGTTATAGTTCAAGAAGTACTGCTCTTACCCTGAGGGGTCCTTTAACCTGATCGTCCTGGACGATGTGCGAGGTGCTGTCTCCCTTAAGCACCACCTTAAAGGAAAGAGGCAGAGAAAGCGGGGGGCTCAGTCAAGGTGAATTAATGTGGTTGTGTAACACACAGGCCCTGCACTTACTGATAAGCTTGCAGAGAGCTTCTACATGAAGTCACGGCTACTCAGAGCAGTCTGGGAGCCCCTGGCTGGTTGTCACAGCCCCCCTGGCGGTCTATCCAGACCATCACATGGTCACAGCCTGCTCTGTCGTCACGCAGAAGCCCACCCACTCAGGGCTACGAGAACTCCCGCTGACAGACACAGCAGCATGCGGCTCGTCCCCACCCAACAATGACCCCCAAAGCGCGCTATAAAGGACTTCAGTATTCTGCCTAATGATGACTGACGTGCGGCGTCTGTCAATCTCCATGACGTGGTGAGGGAAGAGAGCAGTGAGGAGCGTAAAGGCTTGTTCCGATAAAGCTCGCGAGACACACACCTACGCGAGCACAAAAAGCAGAGCCAGGTCGCTCTGAACCAGGGACGGGAGGGAGATACCGAGCGGACACCACCCACTGGAACAGGTGTGCGTGCTGGCTCTGCACATGGCTCCAGCAAGGCGACCTGCACGCTTCAAGACAACTGTGACAATGTCACATCACCAGAGAATGCTGTCGCAGTGACCGGGCTGGCCTACAGGAGTGCAGCTGCAACACACTGGACTGTGCCACAGACAGGAATCCCAAGAGATTTCAATATAAAGCAACTATGAGACAGTACAGTGACTGAGGCCCATGTAAACGGTGCTCTGAAAGCAGTCAACTCCTCACACACTGCACAGAAATTAATGCTGTAAGGGGGAGGAGTTACAGAAAGCACCTACTGGGCTGGGATTCTCATGTGGCGCCGCATGGCAACACTGACGCCTCGAGAACGTATCTGCCGGGGATTCAGCAGCTTCCAACACCAGTCGCCTGACGCTGCTGGCATGACCGGCCCCTCCACCGTACAGATCCCGTGTGAAACCAGACCAAATGGGCATACAAGCCACCAGAAGACAGCAGTATCTGCTTTCAACATGCTCTTTCCTATACTGCGTGACCAAAAAGAATTCCTTAAGTGCAAGAGGCAGAGAAAACTCAAGAAATTAACTCAAAACCACAGGTAATGCAAACATGGCTGCCTTTCAGAATATATTCACCATCAGAATATAAAAAATTCAGTTTCAGATAAAATGCTGTCACCTCAAAAATCAAACAATGCTTCACAATATCACCTGCTGCCACACTGTTTGAATCGTAGTTTGCTTATTCCTGGCATTCTAGTATTTTTAGAAATGACTAAAAATACATCCAGTTCACTAGCTACAGCTTTCAATGTTACTTTTCATTAACCAGAGCCCCTCTTAAAATGGCCAAGGACACGAACATTCAACATCTGAGCATTTGTTCCAATCAAAAAGTGTACTTGCATCATCTACGACACTCACACTTTAAAAATGATGCTGTTTGCGAAGACTTATCCTGTTCAAACTGCAATGTCATATTAACGTGGAAGGAATCGTAACATGCAGTTCCTTGCTTGACAAGTAAGGCTGAAGGTAACAGACAGTCATATATACACAGACATCATAAGGTGGGGGGTGCAAAGGCTGTCTCAGGACATAAGACAGAGCTGTAAGCTTCAGCTTATTAAGGAAGGCTGATAATGTAGTAAAAGTAATTTAGTAAAAGTATCAATAGCAAGGTTAAAAAAAAGCAAACAACTTTAAGATCACAGATATTACCAAAAGTTACAGAAGTTAACCCTGTGCTAAAGTACCTGTCCCTGAATTACACGTCACTTTCGAGCAAGTCGGTCACCAGTACATCGCCCACCAGAAGGGAGCCAATGAGTAGGTCGCAGAACCCATTTTCAGAAATAGGATCAATTACGTTGTTAATATCTGTTGTTTATTTTGCTTATAAACATGTACACTGAGGTAGTACCATACGTTTCAGTGTGTGTCTGACGACAAGGATGAGCGACAGAGTTTACTCCCTCAGCTGACATGATCAAGTAAACACACAGCTGACCGGATTATTTTTTGTATAGAAGTAGCTCTCAGTGTACATGAGGTTGGAGACCCCTGCACCAGCAGGATACGGCCTGCCAGTTCTGTGACGTCTGAGAGATTCTCACCTTCACTTTGACCATCCTCTTCACATTCTTGATTTTTGCCTCACAGAAGGCACCCCGGTACTTAGCGCTCACGTCCGTCCCCACTGTCAAATAGGCAGGCTCATCCGCTGCCTGAAACGGCAAGGAAAGGCAACCATTTTAAAAAAAAAAAAAGGAAAGAAACCATCCTCTAATAAAAACGGTGTGCTATAAAGTAACTGACAAGTTTCTAATGTGCTCAACATGCCACAAATTCAGAAAGAAAAAAAGCACAGTGACCATAAGCTGCAGGGAACAAGGACAAGTTCCTGATACATTCCTGTTACACACCACTGCAACTGAAAATGTAATTCTTAATATTAAACATTGCAAAATTTGTCTTGCATTACTGGAGTTTTGGAGTGGTTATCAACAGCTATTTCCCCAAAGCAGCAAATATTCAGACTTTCATCTCATAATTATCAAAGGTGGGTGGGACAGCAGCCAACTGACAGGCCAGAGCACATGACAAGGTTAAGAGCAATGCAGCATTCAGTGAACCTTAGTGTACAAGGTAGACTGGGATCTTAAACTGCTGCAGCCTAATGGGGAGGTCAGATACCCCACATAAGATTCCGTTCCTTCAATAGGGGCCATTTGGAAACATTGGCACAAGGTGGGGAGCGGTGAAAGGCTGATCTACAGTTCTGTCGGTTTTCACGTTTATGCTTTGGCCTGGCTGGTATTAAAGGCCTAAAAGTTACCAAATGCATCAACAAATGTCATCAGTGCTACATCTTTAAGCAAAAGCAGTGTGACTTGGAGCGGTCGTCATGCAGACACAAAGACGACGCGCCAGCTTTACAGAACGGGGTCGACTCCCCTGACGATAAGCAAAGCTATCTCGCATTTGCTACAGCTACGAGCAAGCAGATCTGGTTGCTGTTTATAAAATAGCAGCGGTACACTGTGTCTGGAGCTAGAGGGACATGTTAAACCGCACGCTGTGATCGCGGGGCAAGAGGACACGTGTGCGGCTAACTGGCTAGCCATCAGGGCTATGAGAGCTAGCTGCCGGGCGACGACAGGCCGGTGGGGAGGCGTCGCCTGCATCTCCCGCAAGGTAAAGTCACTTACCTTCATCGTGGAGGCTATTTGAGGGATTCCAGGTCGAATGGTTTATGACTGCTGAAAAAAAACTGGGGAGACAGAAAAAGGGGTATGAGATCTATCGAAAAAACGAAATTTTTATTCAGCAGCACGTAATCGATACAAAAAGATAAAAGGCATGCTGGATACTTTAACGCATTCTTCTGCAGCTCGGCTCAACTCCCCCTTACTCGATAGATTAACAAAAAAAGAAACGCTTCAGCAGGCAATCCCAGTCAGTTTTCCGCGAAACTGTTTTTTATGCCATTTTAAATTGCGGGGAAAGTGACATTTTTGTGTGACGGTGTTTGGCATGAAGCTGCGGGGGGCTAAGAGATACCAGGAGGGCTGCGAGTCGCTCCTTCCCGCTTCGCTCCCCGATCCCGACCGTGTCACGTCGCCATCATTGCGCCCTCGGCGTCGCACCGTGTCAATAGCAGGCTAAAGCGCAGCCCGCCTAGCAAACACGCACACGGCTCCCGGGGCAGGCGAGGAGGGGCGCCGCGTCTCCCTGACGCCGAAAAGTTTCTGCGAAACGGTCTAATAACGCCGCCGCGGAGAAAAGATCGGGCGGTCTCGGTGAGAGGGGGGTGGGGGAGGAGTGGGAACGGAAGAACTGTAGCTAAGCTACCAAGTTAGCCAGCTAACTAGCTCACCGAGTATCCCTCGCTGTGGCGATTTAAAACGCCGAGCTGTTCCCATAGCTGGCCGAGCTCAGCTCCCAGCTCCGTTTTCGCTGGAAACGCGCCGACTGACGGACTCACCGTAAAGTAACTGGCGCGAATTCATTATTTATTAAAGTGATCTACAAAAGGCGCATTTCGCCGCAAAAACAAGCCGACTGGCCCCTGCCATTCAATTCCTCACCCATCTCTTCCCTTCCCTTCAAAAACTACAAAGCGCACACTTAACCACCGGCCGTCACCCCGCCAAAGTACAGACCGATGACACACTGAAGCGTCTTAAATAACGAATGTTAACGGTTACCTATTTTTTGTGAAATATCCGCAGCTATACTTACATACAGCGACGAGACTATTCTCCACTTGCCAGGTTTGCAAAGCAATAAACGAAATAACAAGCTGTTGAGCCGAGGCAGTGTTTCTCGAAACCCAATTGGCTGCGGCAGCAGTAGTGAATGTGTTTAAGAGTTGGGATTGGTTGCCAAATATCGTAATTTCTATAGGCCCTACAGATTTCCATCATGTGATTGGCTTATATAAAAGCGGCGCTCTGAAGGGCCTATGCTTATTGGGTTTTACCGTAGATCTTCTTTACAATAAGGCATTCCGTCTTCAAAATGCGATTGGTCTTCCTTCATCCGGTGTTGGGCTCCGTTTTCCAGCCATTGGCTAAACAAATTCAGAGCTTGCCCTCCTGAATTTAGCCATTGGCTAAATTTAATACATTGAGACCGAAGCGGCTATCTGGAGTGTCATTATGCGCAAGTGCAAATTTGCGAAAGCATGTATGGAGCATCATACTGCGCATGTCTTGCTGATGATCTCCTTTCGCCATTTTGTTAGTGATTATTTTCCATTTCGGGGCAGAGGTAAAGAGAAAGAAGGGCGCATTATTAAAGGTGGGTTAACGTCGATTCTTAACATTCTTGTACTTGGTCGTGTTCACTATTTCGGAGGTTTTACACAAAGGATGTAGATTAACGTGATCCGTGGCGCTTCGTAGTACACAATAGTCTTAAAAAGAAATTGTTATAAAAAGGTCAAATGAAGGCTGTCTAGAGAGCAATGGCGTCTCTTCTAATTCTTCACAACGTCACAGTTGTTTCGACGACGACGTAACCGGAAGCAGATGGGGGCGTGGAAAAAATAAACAGCCTTACTGTAGGAAACGTGATTGAAGTTACTGCGAGTAAGCTGCTTAGCACGGCCTCTTGGGTGTCTTAAGAAAAATAAAAACTAACTTAACACGTAGGAACAAGCGTAATGGCGCTTAAAAACCCCCATTGCTCCTCATTTGTTATGCCATATACACGTTGTATGCCGATTTGAGATGTTACACCATGACAATCATAAATAACGTTGAATGACATTATATATTTACTATTTATACCAACTGACTGAACTCTTCATCATTGGTTGATAATTCATGTTCATTTCAGAATGTTTTTCTGTTATGTTATGTTTTCTGTTATGGGGACCTTGGTAGCTCATATTCAGTTTTATGGCTCTCTATTTGTATAATATTTTCGTCCCCTCGTTCTGTGTTGTGGGTTGCAGTCCAGCAGGCTTTACATGTTCCCATTCTGTTTGGCCTTCCTACCACTGTTCAAAATAATGTTAAATTACTGGGTATAAATTGCGCTTATTGTATGATGTAATGTGAGTGAATGCATATTTTTATGTGGGGGTTTCAGATTAGCTAACAGATTTTTTTAAGAAAAATCTGAAATGTCCATATGTGTCTAGGATTCTCCTTGCAGTTTAATATTTAAGAATCTTTTAACGCAGTAATGCAAGAGTTATGCATTGTAGGGTACAGACATCCCATACGAACGCAAGAAAAACATACTGCAAATAGTGGCTTTTGATTACATCAGATAAAACCTGAAATATAATTGTGGCCCTGTGTTCTGCAGGTAACAGGGGTAACAATTAGAGATTCATTTATACCTGGGACTGCAGAAACAAAAAACCAGCTGTAAGTATTGGATGTTGGCAGCAGTGTGCCTAGATATGAACTAGAGCAGAACGGTTGGGGCTCTTTGCTGTCCTGCAGAATCCCGGCACCCTTCTTCATCACCATAAAAGGAATCGGTCCAGCAGTGGCGAGCATGATTAGATGCTGGAACTGCCCATCACGGACCAGTCTTAAGATGCTTGCAAGCTTGTTCTTTTGAGGCTGAGGGCTAGTGGTGTGGCAGAGCTGTTTAAGCAAGTGTGATGTCCCTTTTTAAATTTGAATTAGCTCATGCCCTTCACACAGCCTGCCAGTGACAAGATGGATGTCCCCTGTGGCAGCCTCCAAAGTGTGGGGAGAAGCTCCACATTACCATTCGCAGGCCAGGCTTGCAAGGCTTCGCACTGCATTAACTCTACCTTCTCATGCAGAGTGGATTCCCAGAATACCTGAGGAAGGCTGACAGCACGCTGATGAAATACGATTCATTAAAGGGTCAGCATCTGACGGTGTGTTCGGAGCATAGCGAAGGATCAGCCGTCCATGTATATCCGCTCTCTGTCTTGTCAGTCATGCAGGAATCCTTTGAAGTTGCAGAATCACTCTACAAATGGTCTGTGTGCAGTAAGGCGGGAAAGACAGTCGGTGATTTGAATCTCCTGTCAGATCTTGTTTTCTTTTCGGGTTGCAGGAGGCTGCCGGCTCTGAGCCAGCTCTGCACGCTTGGTCGCCCTGCCTCGCTTGCCGTGTTTCAGTTCTCCTTCTCACGCTGGACCCGAGGACATGCATCGCCGGCCGGCAGTGGCGCATTCTGCTGATCGTTGATCGTCAGTGGTGACGTTTATCCTCTTTATTCTTCCCACCTCCTGTTGCCTTTTTCCTCCTCAGTTTTCCCACCTGGTTCTTTAAGCTGACCGTGAAACTCAGAAGTCAATAATTTGTCCATCTTCCAATGTCTTAAAATGGTCAGTGTCACGGGGGACTGGGACCTAATTCAGCAACGGGACACAGTCATAGTCTGTGGGCATTTTAGAGTCACCTATTTGCGCAACTTTGGATTGGGCCACTTAAACTCCCCCCCCCCCCCCCCCTGTGCTGGAGGCATGTAGTCATAGTTGGTGCCCATAATTCAGCAATCATCAAAATGATGTGGAGGGGTAGGGGGGACGCCATCATGTCACAGTGTAATCCTTATGTTTATTCATTTCGGTTAGCGGAGCACGTCACGTGTGACTGTTTCGGTAAATTATGGAAGCAATAAGCACTGAAGTGGCAGTGAAGAAAGGGACAGATCAGCAGCCACATCATCTTTGTGTGTGGCGGTACTTTTTGCAGTTTAAAGTTCATCACGTTTATTAAACATAAGGATACACTAAGTTTTTACAGATCACTAACTCTTGACCATCAAAATACACATCTCATTAATATTTTAGGAACATCACTAATCTACTTACCAAACTGTCGGTGTAAGTAAATGTCCGTATAGTACCAAAAAGTTGGCATCCAGACGAACATTTCACCCGTCATCTAAAGCCCTGGTGATTATTGAGCATGCGCCATATAATCGCAGTTACATCACGACAGCCCCGTGCAGGGCTGATGTTCCCAATTAGAAGCCATGTGCACATGATCTGTTTGACAGAAATGGTTCTCAGCTAGTGTTGCCTCAGGACCCACATTTTTCCTTGGTCATTAATAGGCCTGTATGATATGAAGAAAATCTGCGATCCGCAACAACATTGTTCAGTAGTGCACTGATGATATTGTCTTGCAATAAATAAACATTAAACTGTGCATATTAGGCCATGTATTTTTGGTTTAATATGTGCACTGCTATGCTGAACTGAAAGTATATTAATCTAAAAAAACATGTCGGTTATACTATCAAGCTACATGTAAATTATTTTTTATAACTAATAACTCACCTTTTTAAAAAACATTTATACACAAATTTTGTACATCAGTGAAACAGTTATCAAGCATAATATATAGTTATGCTCGATAAAACATCATTGTCAAGCTAAATATACATTAATAATCAAGCTAAATGTAAACAATTTTTTATTATAATTAGTAAAACTCTGCATTTGTGAGCATGTTTTATTGCTGTAAATGCTTGCTGCCGAGGTAAGGGTAAACTTTAAATTTGCGGGGTAACTTGAAACTTATGATTGCATAATCACGATTGCGTCATTAGCCTAACAGTCGTCACGTCACAGGAGGAAGGAATTTGCGCAATGGAAGAGATGTTGCATGACGGCTCCATCTGATAGGCGAGATGTTTGTATGCTGAGTGTGGGTGCATGGCTTGTGTAAATGAAAATATTTTTGTTATTCATCACATTTCCAGCAGACTTTGCAATGTGTTTATTGCACATGTTCATATCGCAATGACAATGCGATTTATCGGTCAGCATAAGTCATTAAGTCACAACCCAAATTTTGAACCAAATTTATTGCACAAAGAAATAGTGCAGTAATAGTAAATAGAACATTAACAGTAGCGCAATACCTTCGTGCACTGTAAAAAGTAAAAAAAAAAAAAAAAAAGTCCGACATTAGGGAAAAAAACAATGATTTTTTTTAACCACATGCTCTGTGACCCAATGAAAATGGTTATTTGGTGTATAACTAAGGTCATTGGGGTATTTATCACTATACATATGTGACTGTACTCGGTAGAAGGGAATATAGAATTTAGACAGGATTTAGCTCATTTTAATTATGACGTACTTCATAATAGTTTTGAAACAAATTGTTTTCCCTGCTGTATCAAAATTGCACCAAACCATGAACCCAAAAGCTAAGTTTTTGCCGAATCCATGAATTTTATGTACTGATACATCCTTAGCTGTAATTATTAAGCAAGTTACAACTCACAGGAAAGCACTCTATCATTTTATGCTACCCAATATATAGAAAAAGCACTATATCTCAAAGGTATATATTTTTTGCAAATAAACGAATAATTTAATTTCTGAACTCTGAAAGGTATGTGTAATTCACATGCCAAATTTAATCAAAATCGGAAATGGTGATACAAAGGCCATTTGTTGAATTAAAATGGAATGACCCAAACGTTTTTTGAGAACGCAGGGTCAGCCAGTCTCTGGAGCTCTGGGTTAAGGGCCCTGCTCAAGGGCCCAATAGCAAAATCGCTCTGCTGACCCAAAAGCTGACACACTAAGCCACACCCTCCCGCACAGGCTTGAACCTGAGTCAGTGATCTC